GAGAGAGAGAGAGAGAGAGAGAGAGAGAGAGAGAAAGAGAGAGAGAAAGAAAGAAAGAAAGAATTGAATTCCACTGGTTTGGTGGGTTCCAGGGGCTTCATTTATTTTTGTCATGGTTTCTGAAATGTTTACCTAATCAGATTTTCCTGTTTTATGTGAGCCACAGCAGCTCCTTCAATCTTCCTCATATATATATGATTGGCAATAGAGAGAGAGAAAGAAAGAAAGAAAGAATTGAATTCCACTGGTTTGGTGGGTTCCAGGGGCTTCATTTATTTTTGTCATGGTTTCTGAAATGTTTACCTAATCAGATTTTCCTGTTTTATGTGAGCCACAGCAGCTCCTTCAATCTTCCTCATATATATATGATTGGCAATACTGATTTGGGAGCCACAGCAGCTCCTTCAATCTTCCTCAAGAAACTTTGAAATCTTGTCACAAACCGGGACCAATAAGCTATATATATATATATAGCCTTAATTTGAAATCCTGCTGATTTGGCAATACTGGGTTGGCATCCAACTAACAGCTTGACTATACAGACAGGCAGCTCAACCCTTCACCAGGTGCTCCAAATCATTGAACTTTGCTAAGTCCACTGTTATGTACATAGATTAACATACATTATGGGGAACACACACTATAAGTAAATAAAACAGTGGCATACTGTATGTTCCATAAGACACATATTCTATTTCTCTGCCCCTCCGTGATGCTGAATTGTTATACTGCATGTCTGATAATCCTCCAGTTAGTAATTGTAATCTATGTTGCGTAAGAGTAATATTCTGTATAAAGGCATTCATTTTGTTTAGCTGTGAGCTATTATTAGAGATACGATTCCACAAGTTCCATAGCATTAGTCATAATTAATGCATAACAAAATGCTCATATTTACATACTTTGCCTTCAGAACGTATAGCTCTGCCTTTATAGCAGCAAGCTATAATGAGTTCAATAAAATACTTAACTGATACATAGGTAGGTACATTAACATATTTAAGTGTGCTTTACTTGTAAATTTCAGTGTGCTTTACTTGCTTGTTCCAGTACAGTGGACCCTTGACTTACAGACGGCTTGACTTACAGACTTTTTGAGTTACAGACTTCTCTGGCCGCAAAATTTAGGTTTGACTTGCAGACTGAGATTTGACTTACAGACCAGAAAAAAACCAAAGTGGAACAAAAACGGCCTGTTACGGGATTAATCGGTTTTCAATGCACTGTAGGTCAATGGAGACTTGACTTACAGACTTTTTGACTTGAGAACCGCCTTCCAATACGGATTAAGTTCTCAAGTCAAGACCCCACTGTAACTGCGGGTTTGTTTTGAACAATGAGTTCAATAAAATACTTAACTGATACATAGGTAGGTACATTAACATATTTAAGTGTGCTTTACTTGTAAATTTCAGTGTGCTTTACTTGCTTGTTCCAGTAACTGCGGGTTTGTTTTGAACGCTCAAATTTATATTCTTATGCTTTTAGTGAGCAATGCTGCATCCATGTTTTGTACATAAATAAGTCTGAATATTTTTTTTAATGGAAGGAATAATTCTGGGAGACTATTTTTCTTTCAGTAGAGCTTCTGATAGGCTGCTAAATTACAGTAGCATTTCTACAGCTTCTCATATTGCTTGCTTGAAATCAAGCCTAGTCAAAAGAATGCACTCTGGCTGTACCTTTCTCTAAGATTAAATCCAGTGCCAGGGGATACATAACATATCCACAGATGGTTTACATAGACCTATTTGCCATTAGACCCAAGTACTAATGCTACACTCATTAGTAATGGTTTCATTATGTGACCATATGACTTAAAGAGTTCAGAAACAAGTACAGTGTGAGAGAGATGTTACCAGATACCACATACATATATGAAGTTAACGTTTAACAGTCACTACTTTTGCTAAGCCTAACGCAGGATGCAAGGTGCACTGAAGCTGCACAGTTGCAGGGGAACAGAAAAGAGGCAGATGGGTCTTTCAGCCTCACAGTGTTTCATAATGCTTTGCTAGAGCTAGCTGCTTGATCGTAGAATCATAGAACTGTAGAGCTGGAAGAAACCTTAAGGATCACTGAATGCAACCCTCTGCCAAAGTTTGAAATCCACAGCTAAGGCATCCCTGACAGGTGGCCCTCCAACTTCAGCTTAAAAAACTTCAATGAAGGAGAGTCTACCACTTTTCAAGGTAGTCTATTTCACTGTCAAATAATGATTATTATCAGGAAATTCTTCTGAATGTTTGGTTGAAAACATCTTTCCTTATTTATTTTGGGCCATGTTCCGTGGAGCTGTAGAAAACAAGCTTGCTTCACCTTCCATATGACAGTCCTTCAGACATTTGATGGTGGTTATAAGATTACTTCTTAAGATTACTTCTCAATCTTCTTTAAGCTAAAGATACAGTGGTGCCTAGCTTGACGAGGATAATCCATTCCAGCAAAATCACTGTAGAACGAAATAGTCATCAAGCAAAAGTAAAAATCCCATTGAAATGCACTGAAAACCGGTTCAATGCTTTCCAATGGACGAAATACATCAGCGTCCAGTGAAGATCATCCACAGGGCGGCCATTTTCCGGTGCCTGTAATGCGAGGAATCCGTCCTAAAACACAGCAGGGAACCATTTTGCACAGCAGGCGGCCATTTTGAAGACCCGACGATCAGCTGTAAAGATCGTTGTTAAGTGAAAAATTGGTTCCCGAAGCAGGGAACCGATCGTCGTAAAGCAGTTTTTCCCTATTAAAACATTGTTTTGTGATCACAACTTCATCATAAAGTGATTTCCTCGTCTAACAAGGTAATCGTCAAGCGGGGCACCATTGTACCCTTCTTTCTGCCCTCTGATTCTCAAAGTCAGCAATCATGACAGGATCTCCTCAATGATTGCTCCCAAGCTGTGGAACTCCTTTCCAAGGGAGGCTAGGCTGCCTTCTCCCTGCTTGTCCTTGACAGGCATATATATATATATTTCTATTTTTATTTAGGCAGGCATTTTGCCACTGATGGGCAATTCGTATTTTAAATGAATGGCGTCCAAAATGTCCCAAACAGCAGTTTTTGCTGAACCAAGTGTAGCTTTAGGTATAAAGAAATTTTAAGCATTGAAACCAGGCCAGATTTCTAATAGTTAATTTGTACTAAACAATGCAGCTTTTTAGAGAGGAACATGAGAGCTGCACTTCTTTTTGTGTTTCTAAAAGTTTTTAAAATCACACAACTCAGTGTTTGTTTTTAATATAATTTACCTAATGGTGTTTTATTATTGTAATGTATTGTGATTTTTTAAAGCTGTATCAGTTTTAAAAATTGATATAGTAAGCTGACTTGGATATTGCACAGGACATATCCTGAAACTAGTCTCAAGAATTATCCGGTGCAAATGCTTTGGCTGAACAACAGTCTTCATTTTAATCAATTATATGTCTACCTTAGCATATGTTAATACCCATCACTCTCAGTTATATTGTAGCTTTGAATGCATTCTCTACTCTGTAGAGAATTATTTCAGAGCAAAAAAGAGATTTTAGTGTATAGTTGGGAATACGAGTGAGGATATATCTGCAGCTTCTCTTCAGTGACTCAGCAGAAGGATAGATGTACTGTAGCAGCTGTCACCAAGTCTACTACTAGTAAACTCACTGTAGCTGCTGAGGGGTTTACATGACATGGTTATTTTTATACAATGTTTTCTTGTACAGATAACATTCACTGCAGTTCACCTTTTTTTGCAAGTATGAACAGCATTCCCAGGAAGAAAAAAGCCTCTGCAGATTGGAAGAAATTCTGCCACACAATCCCTATTGTCAAGTCAATTAAACTTTTCTACAAAGGATGTTAGGTCACACAAAAAAGACATAACACAAGAATGAAAAAAAGCACTGTTTTATTTTTCAAATACAACTCAAAGTTGTATTGGTAAGAAAAGCACAAGGAATTGGCTATGCACATTTCAGTTCAACTTAAAAATGCATTCAGGTTTACAAATGTACAAACAGCACATAAAATGTATACTTTGAACAGAATGCTCTTATATTCAGCATTTTTTTCTCCTAATGTTTTTACATTCATTGAGCCCATGACAAAGACCTTATTTTTAAAAAAATATTCTGCATTTTTAGCACAAGGTGCTCTTTAAAATTTATGTTTGAGAGCATAATACTAGGGGAGGTAAAACCATGGTAATTTAAAAAATCACTGAACTTTGGAATTTACCAGGTTTTTAAAAAAACTACAAGGGCAGATGGTAAAATACCAAGGGTGTGGTCACTGATGAAAAATATTTGACCACATATCTCAGGTTTTCCAAGTTGGCCAGCAATTTCATACTACCATAATTGCAAGACTTTAAGAGAAGCAAGTGATGAAAATATGACTAGATTTTAATGGCGTGGCTGATGGGGACAGGAGCAAGGGTGGTGGTGGCAGCAAATGGCTTGCAAATTACATTCCAGATGTGTTACAGAATTTACCATGATCAGATCTGGACAACTATCATTTGGTTTTGCTGAATTTCAGTTTTCAGGTGGGTAATGCACATTAGGCCAAGGATCTGAGCTTCTTCTCCCAATTGCAGGGCTCCAAATTAGCCAAGGATTATACGCTTGTCCCAAGTCTTCAGGGCTGTTCACCGTTGGGGCAACTGCAGGTGGTGGAGGGGTACTTTCATTCCCAAGATCAAGCCCTGGCAATGTGTTAGATGGAGTGTTGAAAGGAAGGGAGTTGTTCAAATTACTTGACCAAATAGAACTGCTGAATGGAGTGGTGGTGGTAGACCACAGGCCATTTGGGTTGCCAAGGATAGACTGCATTATTAAAAACAAAGACAAAACAAGAATTGCAACACACATGTAACTGCAACTACCAGGAAAATGACAGTCACATACCTCTTTAGTTTTTAGTTAAATATGTACTGAAGTTATTTACAATAAAGATGATCTATATGGATGTAGAAAGGAACAGTAAACCACTTCTGAGTACTCTATACCTAGAAAGCCCTGGAAAGGGACATCAAAAGTCAGAATTGACTTGTTTACACATACTTATCATATGAAGGCATGAAACTACATTTGAATACAGGAGTTCTACAGTCCTTACTGCAACTGAAATGTAAACACCAGCTGAATGCAGATCTTTGCATTTTGGAGAGTTAAACTTAATGTCAGACTCAGTTTTCACTGGTCCACACGCGAGTGAGACCTGTTCTTGGAACTCTGTGTATAATGTTTGACAAGTCACAATTTTGCAGCAGCTTCAAATGGAACAATCTCATTCTGTTTTCAAACTTGTGAAGTGAATAAGAAAAGTACATGTCTCCTCATTCAGAACTATTAAGAAAACATCCCACACACATTGAGCTTACTGCTGTTAGAATAATAATTTACATGGAGACATTTAGTGTAGAAGAGCTTCACTTGGACGACGCTCTGCCTCTCACCACAACCCTTATCCTTCAGTTAGAACATTTATAAACAGTAAAAAAAAAACTATAGTAAAAAAATAAGCATATACTTACTGAAGTTGTGTGAGTAGGGGATCCTGAACTTGTGGGCCAGGGAGGTATCACATCTGTAGCTGAAGAGTCCCAGATAGATGAAGGAACACTAGTAAACTCACTCCAGTTTCGCTGAGCATCTTGCCCATATGCAGATGATGATAGCCCAAGTTTGCTGAAAACTTCTGAGAGGGGGGAAAACACATAACCATATTACACTGTGTCTCCACAGGTTTATAAACAATATTATGATCTGCCATGGTTTACATTAATATCTTTGCACAGAGAAACACAAAAGGAGACAGAATTTACATGTGAAACAGATTTTATCAGATACTGGTCAGATAAGTGAGTTCCAGGTCAGCTCTGCAGTCACTGTTTAGTGCACAGATGGGAACTGTGTGGCTCAGAGATAAAAAACACCCTGCACATTTTTCCTGCCTCTCTGAAGCTGCCCTGTCAAAACAAAATAAACAAACTGCACAGAAAATGGAGAATGCTACTTCTCAAAATCTCAGGGAGCAGTGATACTTCTTTAAAATAAGTGCCCTTGTTTTGCTCTCTAAACCCTTCATTTTTTTCCTAGTCACTTTCAGGTTCTTTTTTTAAAAATTGTGATAAGGCCCGTGGTGGGTCTTGCCTCAAGACTCTCAGAACTTGCTTACCCCTCATTTAGTGCTTAACAACAGAAAACTACTCCTTTACGACAACCAAGTTAGAAAAAAAGTTCACAGAGCAATTCAATTTAATAATACCATATTTTGATTTTTCTTTAAAGACCTGGGAACTGCTAATTCAGCTTTTTAAATGTTTTGATTTAAATAGTCACATCTTGAAGGACAGTCCTTGGGGTATAAAACCTTGCTTCTAACATTTTGAAGATGAATGGCTTCAATAAAATGTATGTGCTCTGGTGACCTGTCTTAACAGGACACTGGAGTGAAAGACTTAAAATGTTCTTGGAACAGAACTTTGACAGCTGCTACAGAAATGTGATCAGATGTCTTTTTTTAAACACAGGAGGTATCCATTTCTTATCTCAGCTAGTTTTCTGAAATATTTTATTTTTCTCACCAATCTATCAGGAAGCATACATTTTGGGGAGAAATGCTTTCTATTTAGCAGGTTTTTGTTGTTTTAATCTCTCTCTTACTTATAGCTGCAAGGCATAATTTGATAATTTCACTTGCCTGGCTCACCAATATGAGTGATCCATTGAGAGAAGTACAAACTATTCTCCCGCTTAAAGTTGGGAAAAGAGGAGAGAAAATGTTGTCATCTGCACTGAAGTTTGGAGCATTCTAACCTTAAAGCAAGTACTGGGAAGATTTCTGCTGATCTCTCTATTTCCAAATTGGAGAGGAATCACCTTGTTTACACTGTAGCAGACATATGCCAAGGAGCATCTCTACTGTCCAAAAGAACACCCAGTCTCTCTCCCCAGCTGCTAAGAGAAAAACACTGAGATAGGAGATAGACAGCAGTACCTCTCCTAGGTATTGCTCTGTTACTATATAAACAACCTTCAGCCTTTCTTCTCAGATCTAAAAAGGTTTAAAAAAGTATGGACAGTGGAAATTCTGAAAGCAAAATGCATCCCTCTCCCCTTGCTTTGGCCTGACATGGAAAGAGCAGTAGAGAAGATGGAAAGAGGGGCACAGAAAGATCTCTGTTATGCTGTGACATGAAACCTTTTGACTCCCAATGCAAATGCAGAGATCCTGCTCATCCCCAGCTTCCAAAGTGGCATTGGGAATGTGGTGCAGAGGACTGTTCCTGGACTAAAACAGAGAAGACCAGGAGATCAAGGACATGGAATCCAAGCTTATACGTATGAACAGGAATACCACTAGGATTTCTTTTTTGACTGTTGGATAGAGAAAATGACCAGCAGCAATTTACAATGCAGATGAAAAATGGCATTTGTGGGGGTAAATTATCTTGAAACTGGGCAATTTCTCCCCAAACTGAAGCACGAGAACAAGCAGATTATCAGTATAGATAGTCTGAATACCATTCATTGGCTGACATTCTGCTGCTTAGTGTAGCAAACTGCATTAGAACAGGCCCAGTGAGTCATTAGGGATTTGGTGAGTCAGCTTTGTAAGTCCAATTGATTCAAATGAGCCTACTCTAATTGTAACTTACTACACTAAGCAAGAGGATTTCAGCCACTGTCATGGAAACTCATCCAATTCCTTCTGCTGTACAGTCAGAGAGACCTTTAAATTGAAGGAACTTTTCAAGATAAGCTTGTGTTCCTAAAATGGACACTAATGCTAACTTTGGTACCATATTCCACCCAGCAACATTTACTCCAGCCACCTCATCCTGCTTTTAGGTTCTATCTAGGACAGAAGGCATTTTGATGCATAGAGGGGAGAAAAACCAAAAGTTAATACTGTTAAGAAGTACATACAACCCATAAAACATGTTTTAGTTCCCTCTAGACAATGAAAGATACTTCTTATTATGAAGAGGAGCTATTTGTTTGTTAAATGAAAAGATCTCTTCATTGTCCTCCCCAACTGCCCCCCCCCTTGTTTCAAGTGAGCAACAGTCCACTCTGCTGTGTGGCCTTCAATTTTTTTAGGCTACTTTTGCTTCCAAGTTTTTTGTAAAACATTGCAATGGGCCACTCACCTCCAGTTAGATTAAAAGAGTTTCCAAATGCTGAAAAAGAATTGACAGGTGTGAAGTCTGGGCTGCTCGGATTGCTTATAGGACTCCACAAACCCGAACTAAATTGAGGAGGAGAAAAGAGACTTTATGAGGAAAATAACTTCAGTATGAGGAACATCAGAACACAACTAAACCACGGCACTGCCGATAATTATCCAGGACAACAAATATTCTAACACACTATCAATTCACCATAAATTTCTTGTAAAAGAAGTGAGAGGTAATTCCTGTTGTTGTAAAGCCAATCTGGAAACATACTTTAAGGTTGAACAATCTGTCCCCCAGATTTAGCAATCTTAAATGAGGTGACAGGAAAAATGTGGTAAAGGACTGTTAAGGTACAATGGGCAGGACTTAACAGACACATTCTCCTAATCAAGTTCTTAGAAAGAAAGCTGCTATTCTCCTTATCTTTGATAAATTAGTCTTCTGTTCTAAGATCAATTCAAGTTACCTGTCAGAGCCATCACTGTCAACAGCTGTGTGTGAAATGTTCATACAACCAGAGGTCTCAGTTTTAACTGGTGAAGGCTTTGCTGGGCCACTACCACCTGCAACAATGAGTTTTAAATAAGTGAAACATTGCAGTATGACAGTTATATATTAAGACGAACAATTACTTTTCTGAACCTGCATGTTACCTGGGCTTTTGTCATAACCAGCAGCTACAGCAGCAAAAGTCGGATTTCCATTCCTGCCAGGGAGAGAGGCTGCCTTTGCCACTTTATGTTTAGCACCACTGAGCAATTTGTTTTTCGGTTCACTAAAAATATGAAAAAGAAAGATGTTATTTTACAGCTCATCTGTACTGGGCTTGGTCACCCTATTTACAGACTAGCATTTTGGCAACTGAAATGTGACTGTGAGAGGAGTAACAATAAGCACCACCTCTGTCCATTTCTTCCAGAATACTGTTTATATATAACTAGTATTGAAGCATGGTTGGAAAAGTGATCCAAACACTGTCTCTCCTGAGGGATGCTAAGGGAGTTTTCTGACAGGAAAGCATTCCTGTTTTCTCACTTCACACTAGCCAAAATTAGTCTGAAGCATGTCTATACAGTGTGAGTTTGGATGATGTGGTTTTACCAGAGAGAACCAGACCCTGCTTTATTTAATCAATTTAAAATATTTCTAAAATATTCCTCCTTCAAAATTGCAGAGGTTTCTACAATAGACACAATTAAAATTCTTCATACCAGTATGAATAAATAATAAACATTTACAACAAAAATAAATAGAGAGATAAAACTGTAATAAATAACATAGACTGAGCTACACATCCCTTTAATATGCATGGACAAACAATAACATTTAACTTTCCTGTAAAATAACTGCAGGGTCATTGCTAGTCATGCTTCTTTGGAGCCAGCATTCCCAAGTTGGAAAACTACCACAGAGAGGGCCTTCTTTTCTGTAACCATCCTACCGTTGGAAGGGCTCCTTATTAGGGCCTCCAAGTAAAGATCTTAAGAAATGGCAAGACTGATTTAGCAAGATGCAAGCATCTGAGTCCTAAGTTATGTAAGGGTTTTGAAGCTAACCACCAGCAGCAACTTGAACTGGCTTCAGAAGCAAGCAGACACTCAATGCAGTCCTTTCAGAATGGCTGTGAGATGAACATCCCTTGCTGTACTGGCAGGTTTAATCCTGGCACATTGACAGGAGTCTATGTTTTATTATTCCAAGATGGAAGGAACACATACCTTCTAACAAGCTCTCTGACTTTTGCACCTATCTGAATATCAAACAGTCTAATTTAATCAAATTCATTCTGTTTACTTCTTACATTTAGTATTCCTTTTAATTGTTCTTGACTTCTATTGGCAGATTGAGAAATCTCACCAGATCCTTGGCCAATCCTTTATACATCAACCCTCTAAAAACGAGTGTATATTGGATCTCATCTAACAGACAATCCATGTGTAGAGGGAAGGGAGTTAACACTGACTTAAAATAACAACTGGAACCTAAAATATAAAGTCCTGTGTTAAAAAGTAGTTTATAATGGTAGAAGTTTCTTGCCTCCAGATTTCTAGCTTGGTTACATGTTAACCATCAGAACATACTTGCAATTGTTCACAATACTGCTGTAAGTGTTCCGTGGAACAAAGGCTAATTGTGCAGGGGGTGGAGACGGAGAGGCAGGAATTGGCGAGGTCTGTCGTTGCTTCAGAAAAGCATCTGCACTGAGGGTTTGCAGGGATAGCTTATAAAGGTTGTCAGTAGCTGGGAATAAGAACAAAATAAATCTTAGCAATCACATCAACTTTTCTGGAAAGTATTTATTTTGTCACCCACAAAATCTTCAAATACTGTAATTAAACAATTTCAAATTAGATGCTTTATGAATTACTATTACTATTACTATTACTATTACTATTACTATTACTATTACTATTACTATTACTACTACTACTACTACTACTACTACTACTACT